GCCGACAACCGGTGGTGACAGAGATGATGTTGGAGTTAAGCTCCTCAAAGCTTCAAGTTCTCTCTCAAGTTTCCCCCCTCATGTGAGGGGTGGGGCTCTATTTATAGTGTTTTGAATGCAATTAATGCAGAAATATGAATCATTTTGATCAGACGATCCAGAGAGCTTCTCTCGATCGGATGGCGTTTGATGGGCATTTAAGTGTTTTAACGATGTCGGAATTGAGCAATCTTGGGTTCGTTGGATTCACCTTGTCGAGACGTTCGATTCGCGTATGAACTCGTTGAATTCGACATTCGTTTCATCTTTCAAATGTGTCCGAAAATGTTTCAAAAATGATTTAATCATTTGATCTGGGCTTGATTTGACTCGAATTGGACTAGCTTTGATATTATTAGGTTCGTCTTATCGAGTCGGTCAGTTTGACTATAAGTTTGTTGAAATCGGAGCTCTGGATGGCTTTTAATTGAAGTTTGAATGTTTCTTGCTCAAAAGGTTGCCTTGAGATTCGTGTCATACCTCGAGATTCTTGCCGGATGATGAAAATTTGTTGGTGGCGTATCAATTGCCCTCCTTTTTCGGACGAGTCTAATTTTTTTTCGTCTGAAAATATCAAGAAACAAAGCATCACTTTTATATATATGTATATATGTATGTATATATATATATATATTATTTTGTACATAATGTTTTCAATGCTTGGATAATTTCTAAATGCTCCCATAAGCTTTTATTTGCTCTGACATTTTCTGATTTGTTAATAAATGCTCCCTTTAGCTTTAATCTGCTTTGATAATCCGCTTTAATCTGCTTTGTTACAAATATAGTATAGCTTTGGGAGAACGCCAAACGACGGGATGCGAACAGCGGGATCATTGGGCTTGGTAATAAATGCTCCCATTAGCTTTAATCTGCTTTGATAATTTGCATATGTGATAGAAACTATACTCCTTTGGCACAGGCAGTGAGAACGCCAAACGATGGGAGACACGAACAGCAGGAAGCCGAAGCGGGATCGTTGGGCGGGGAAGCAGAGGCGCCCATTGGATGTAGTTGAATGGTCATTTTAATTATTTTAATAATGAGCATTTAACAATTCAACCTTTTTTCATCCTATAAATAGGGGCTAAAGAAGAGGGTAGAGGTGGAGACCTCAGTTGATCCAAGATTTCCCGGAAGAAGAAAATCGTTCTGCGCTGCAGTGAAAAGTTGTGGTGAAGAGTTGCAGCTCACCGTTGTGGTGGGTGGGGAGGGGCCGCGGCGAACCGTTGTGGTGAAGCGTCGCGGCGAACCGTTGTTGTGAAGCGTTACGATGCAGTGTCGCGGTGAAACGTTGAATTGCAGAATTACGGCGAAATGTTGCAACAAAGTGTTGCGGAAAGCATTGCGGCAAGCATTGCGGCGAACCGTCACGGCGGGGCGTCGCGGCGAACCGTCAAGGCGGGGCGTCGCG